CTCGGCGCTTCTGACTTAAGGGTTTAGGGCTTAGGGTTTAGGGTTTACGGCTGACCCCCCTACCCCTGCATCCTAAACCCAAAATCCTAAGCAAATCCTAAGCCTTGAGCCTTCAATCCCAAGTTTAAACCCTAAATCCCAAGCCCTGAACCCTAGACGTGTTTTTGAGTTTGGGGGTGAGGGCTGTCGGGTAATAGGGCGTTCTCTGGAGCGCGTTTGCAAGAATCAGGTCGTGGTCTACTTGGGTTCCTGGACTTTTGAGAGCAAGTTTTCCGGCTCCCGTACCTAGAGCTCACGGATTTAAAGGGTTTAGGGCTTGGTAGGGGAAGAGCAAGCTAATAGCCTCTTATAACTACTACTCAAGATAATACTCGCGTTTGCGATATGCCGGACTACTACTACAGATGACAGTCGTGTTTGCAAAGATGCCTGCCGTCAACAGTGTAACTTAGAGTAGCTGGCCTTGCAACCGCTCTTCCAAAATACGAGCCAGGAGTTCTTCGGTAAAGATGTGAGAGTTTCTCGAGATGATTCCCACAAAGCCCCGAAAAGGACCACGACGATCTCAGCATGCTTCTAGTGCAAGACCCCCCTGCCCTCCTGGTAATAACAACTGTTGTAACAGCCCATGAGCATCAAGGCTTCTAGAATTCAAGTGAAGGGGTGCGCAATATTTGGGTGAGCGGTCAAACAGATTGCGCCTGCTTCCTACTGTCCATAATCAAAACCCGCTAAACTGATGCAATAGGATAATTCCGAAGGAGTTTCCACGGGTTCAAGCATGTACTGAGGGGTCATGCAGGATCTTTAGTATCAAGCTTATCTTCAAGAGATTGTGAAAAAAGTTCTGTCGGGTAGAGGTTTAACGCTTAAATAAAGGGCCTACACAGAAAGGCTACGGGGACGACAGGGAATCTTATGGGAACCTGTATGCCATTTGGTTAGAATTACTTTTCCATCCGGTCCCACAAACATTACAAATTCATTTGAAGGCCATTACCCAGAACACTGCACGCAAGCAAGCGCGATAATGATTCTTGTGGCTCTGAGCATACAGGAGCTTCTCGAAACGATCGTTTTTTAATTGTGAGGACCCGAAGAAATATATGGGTAGTCCCCAAAATCATGGGCCCCTTCTGGTTATAGATTATGATACGGCACCTGAGATGTTGCGTGATCAAAATAAGGTGATCCGCTTTTATCTTTGGGACCCCTATTTGCTCTCCCTGTTTTGAGAAACCTCATATGGGCCATAATCTAAAGCCCTTATGGGGGGGGTTACAGGGGATTATGTAGGGGACTATTATAGGGGTTATTAAGGGGGATACTTGGACTTTATGTAGACTATAGCTCATATCGTATAAGCCGTGACTTTCTTGCGCGAAGCGCACATGACAGCGCCATTACCCCCTTACTCTTTAAACCCTAGATGGTAACATCTTAAGTCCAAAGCTGTAAGCCCTGAACCCTCAACCCTCAACCCTAAGACCTAAATCCTAAACCCTAAGTCCTAAACCCTAAATCCCCAGTCCGAGACTTTAAATACAAAACCTTAAGCCCTAAACGATGCCAGCATGCACAAGCGTTGCGGCTCCAGAGAACGTTTTTGTTTCTCGCAAGGGTTCCATGAAACTTACAGGTGGTTAGGAATTTAGGGTTTAGAGTTTAGGGTTTAGGGTGCAGAATTTAGGGTTTAGGATTTAGAGTGCAGGGTTTAGGGTTCAAGGTTGAGGGCATAGGTCTCATAGGGCAAGGAACGGATCCCTAAGATGGAGAATCAAATTACGATTCACTGGAAACTGTGATTTTCTTGTGGCTATGTAGGGTTTTTCAAGCTTGTTTTCTGCGGCTGGTTAGTAGGGAACGGAGGCCTGGATGCCTGTCACAGTCCATACACTACGGTTTAGGTCTCAGGGTTTAGGGTGTAGGTGTAAGTTTTTTTTGGTTCAGGGTCCCCATAGCAGTTCGTGAATTCCATTCCTTCATTTCCGACCAGCCATTGGATGGTCAGGGAGACTCAGTAAGTGTATTCCAAAGCCTTATAAGTCATAAAGAAAAAATCAATTTCTCAGTGCAGTGCCTGCAAAGGGTCCCTAAACCCTAAATCCTGAGCCCTATATAACCCTATATAACTCCTAATAACCCTATATCACCCCTATATCCCCCTTTAAGGTACCCCTAATTTTGGGGAAAAATCCCAGCTATGCCTTCATTTCGACCCCCGGATCGATGTGCAAAGCTGCTCCGAATCTGGCTCGCCTCCGGCAAGATGTTGGCAGCCATACCCATTGAGGCCTGAGACTAACCCATTGGTGTAATATTAGGGTTATGTTGGGATTAACGTTTAGGGTTTAAGGTTAGGGTTCGGGGTTTAGGGTTTAGGGTTTAGGGTTTTTAGTTTAGGGTTTAGGGTTTAGGGTTTAGGCCTGAAGCTAACTCTTTGGGACTTAGCTTGGACCTTGTTTAGACCCTTGACCGTTGGGATTCCCATATATTCCTATTATAGGTACCTTAGGGTTAACCCGTAGTAGGGGACCTAAGTGCCATGTAGACTAACATGAGCTGTTTCGTAAACTCTTCAGTTGGGGCTTAGGGCTGAGGGTTTAGCGTTAAGGGTGGGGGGGATGCTGTAGGGTTTAGGGTCTAGAACTTCAAAGGAGTGGTAGACTTCATGTCGTGAGGGCCTTTTTGGGGCTTGTAAGTGGGAAATCCCCAAACCCTGAACCTTAGACCCCACCAGACGCCCATATCTGGCAAGTTGTGAAACGTAAGGGTCCACCCTGAACCTCAGGACCTACAACCCTGAACCCCAAGCCCTAAACCCTAAATCCTACGCCCTAAATGCTGAATCCTTCACTCTAAACCCTGAGCTTTAAGACCTTTAGGGCTTTAGGGTTTATCATGGAGAGCTTCACATCGATTGCTCTGTTTTGTTTCGGCTCCTGGTTCTGGATGGTCCCCTCCGTAGCTCTCTTCTACGGTTCTAGTCCTCCTTAAGTAGATAGAATATGGCTTTGGGTATATTATAATGAGGTCCCCATAGACCCCATACTTAAGGGGGACTATATACGGTAGTATAGCATACTCCATGGCCCTTGATACCTGAAGCCCAAATGGTAAGCCCTAAGCCCTAGAAGCCTGTTGAGGCCTTGGGCGATGTGAGATCTCTGAAGCTGATGCTACAGCCACTATGTGGGGCTCCCCGCTTTAGGCAGAAACTTCTGCACGAGCAGGCGCTCAGGGGGGGGCAATTTGGGCCTCAAAGCTTCGAGTTGCTATGGGCTTCAGTGTTTAGCAGTACAAGTTCTATTAATGCCGTTAAAATTACTAGTAGTATCACAATTCTTTAAGATGTTACTCTTAGTGGTAAAGAGCTAGGTTTTAAGTTTGAGGTTTGGGGTAGTTTCCAAATCATGGCGCTACCATATGCGGGCACCTAACTATGTAGTCACCAGCGGCGAGCGCCGGACCCGTTTAGGGTTTAGCAACCCTTTACATGGATATTGGTCTAAATTCCCTATAATACGGGGTCCTATGTTTGGGTTCCCATTATAATACGGGGCCCTAAATAAATTTCCCCCATTTTGGGAACAGTAATTTAGGGAAACTGCTACATGCCCTAAACCTCAGGTAAAGCTAAGTCCTCTACACCCTACCTCGAAAGTTAGCGTCCCAAGAGTTATGGGTTACTTGTCCCCACTTCCCTACCAATTTAGGGTTAAAGTGGCCCAGAATTAAGCTTAGGGTGTAGGATTTGGGGTATAGGGTTTCGGGTTTATAAGGAATTAGGGTTTAGGATTTAGGGTTTAGAGTTTAAGATTTAGGCCTTCCAGCTAGAGACAGAAGCCTGCAACCCTCTGGCAGGCCATTCTGCAGGAAGATGCCAAGCTGGACGCTTGCTTCGCCTACAGAAGAACTTAAACCTTTTTGGGCTTCCTCATGTGGTTTCTCCCCTATAAAACCTAAAGTGCTAGGGGCGCGCCGCGCGCGCGAGCGGAACCCTAAATCCTACACCCTAAATCCTATCCCCTAATCCTAAACCCTTAACTCTTGACCCTGAAGCCTTAAACCCTTTAGCCTCGGTTGTTGGTGAAGTGAGGGTGTGGCCCAAATCCTAAACCCTGAATCCTAGCCCCTAGACCCTAATCCCTAAATCCTAAACCCTAAATCCTAATCCCTAAGCCCGAAACCCTAAACCCTAACCCCTTAATCCTCAAACCCTAAACCCTAAATCTCAAACCCTTCGTTCTAAGTCTACCTTCCCCATTCTTTGAAGGTCATCTGTTTTTAAGGGTTTTCAGCCATATTTACTTGAATGGTAAGAGGGCTCATGTTGGTGCTGACTGGTGGTAGCTGACAGGGACATGCAGGACTTTTTTTCCTTGCTACGGCTCTGTGATCCCCATTCTTGCTTCTTTCTTGCGCGAGGAAGCAGCAGATGCTTTGTGAAATTCCGATGCCGGGCATAGTTTATTGTGACGTTTGGAGGTGCATCATTTCATAGTCGTCGTTAGAATCTACTGTTTTCGCGCACGCTTTCTAGCAGGTTCGTTCGCCTGCATGATCCCCTCTTTCTCCTCGGGAGAAAGCGTATTAAACCACTCGTGAGACCAAGCTTTCAAGCATTCCATTGCCTGAGCTTTAGTGCGGGCACTTCCGCGACTCCCTGGTCCAGGGCTGTCTGTGTAGGACACACAGCGACTTTTTTTGTTGCTGTGCTTGTACCCTGCTGGCAAATAGCACTGCACGAAGGGATTAGAGTTCACAGGATGCCCCATGTAAGTAACGCAACCTGGAGCTACTTCGCCCTCAGGCATGCCACGGCTCACATGCGGTGCATGTGGAGCGCTTCTTCGTTCCTAAATTCAGCATAGGGATGATAGAATTGAAATAAATGGGCTTAGAGGAAGAGGGTTAACAGGTCAAAATGATATTAGTTTATAGCCTTTAGAAAGAGTTTGTATTGGATAGCATTTGATAAATGAATGGAGTACACAATATCAAACACGAAGGAAGAAGATGCTTAAATTGTACAGTGTAGGGCCAGCGTCAGATCTGTCCGGCATGTCATGGTCTGGCTGCTGCGACGCGTCTGCGGGCCTCCGTTCTCCTTGATCAGGATCCACCTGCGGCTTGTCAGCATCATTGCTGTTGTCCTGCGGGTCTTCATCTTCAGGATCCACGGCCATGTAGTCCATGATTTCGTCATCCTCTTCTTCGTCAGTTTCGCCTGGAAGTCGTTCATCATTAGTTCCATCCATCTCCTAGGATATGGAATGTCAGGGATAATTTCTTTAGTGCGTACATGACTTTTACAAAGCAATAGTAAGAATACATGAGAAGCACTAGGGCCAGATTTAATTTGCGGGTTTTTTGGGATTCAGAGTGGTTGATTGTATAAAATTTCAGTCGTAGACTCTTCGGGATCTTTCTTTCGTGTGCGATGCGGTGCATCATCAGGCAATTCCTCCAAAACGGAGGTTATAAAGTCATCACTCTTGCCTTGATGGTTCAAAAACAAGCGGACACGTGCTTTGAAATCCATTTTCGAATGTTTCAAGCCCAGGGCTGTGCACACACTTGCTAGCAATCCTTTCGGAATCCAATAAATGGAGTGCTCTGCAATGTACTCAGCCAAACTCATCCATTCCGAGGTCTGCTTCCATCCCAGCTGATCGTGAGCCAGGCACGGTTCTGTAAACGCGATCACCACAGAAATCATGTCCCCCACGATTTTCCCGGTACGCGGAACATCAGCAACTTGGAAAGTGTAAACTCCTTGCTCGAACTTGACCAGTGGAAGCACGCGAACTGAGTGAGGGCCTGCGGACAGCACGAGCTCCCGAGTGTCCGAAGCTTTGCCTTCGTCCCAGGCCACGAAGCAGTGTTCCGGAATCAGCTTGGAGGTCCATAACTCCTTGTACGTGCTGAGCAGGACTTCCTGCCGATCCTCTTGTCTGTTCAGCTGAGGACGTATCTGCGCATGGTAGTTGTCTCTCAGGAGCCTGAGCAGATCGAGACGCTGGGCGAGGATGTGTGGTTTCGTGAAGTTCTTCGAGGTCTTGTGCTTTGTGAGGCCCTCAGACGAAACCCCGAGCTCCAGATCAGTTGCTTTCAAAGTGGAATGAACACGGGCTTTAACATACTTCTGGGACAGCGTAGCCTGCCAGTCTGAACTAGACAACGCCAAACTTTTCCCGCCACCTGGACGCGAGGTTGAGCTCTTGTGGGCCACTGCATGAATGTTCTGCGGGCATGTTTTTTCTGCTTTCATGCGGCGTCTTCCGCTGTCCCGCAGATCATTGAAGCAAAGTTCCGAAGCCAAACTTGAGAGGATAGAGTCATTGGCATCCCCAGTGAACCCTGCAACAACACGGCATATCTCCCGGAAACCCAGGCCGCGATCTTCATCCATGCCTGCGTTCGAGAAATTCATGCACCTTGGATTCCAGGGATGTTGTGGGATGAACGGGCATGATATTAGCATCATGTCTATCCTTAAAACCCTCCAGGACTTGTAATGGGCGCGCGAAGGCGATGTTCCTTCAGCTTGTTAGGGGAGGCATGGCATAAAGAGTGAGCTTACAGAGTCCTGGGTTTTATTGCGCAGCTTTGCAAACAGTGAAGACACCTATTTCTTCGGGAGATGCTTTTCATGCTGAGTTCCTTAATACGGGCAAGAGTATGGGTCGTTGTGGGGACGATTCTGTTGAGAAATCGAGTGGCTCGGCTTTGGTCATGATGTCACGGTAGCACTGGTACCGGGTGAAGTTCAAGCAGACGTACAATGCATGGTTTTTCGGCAGCTGATCGATAATTTCGGTGACGAACTGCCATTCTCGCTGCATGCAAGCCAGCGTGTCTGCACGCAACTGCAAGTTCAAGCAGGCAACTGCTCGCCAAGGAAAGCTTCGCTGCATGGTATCCAAGTCTAGCAGGGCATCGATCTGACACAAGAAGAGAGTTGCCAACCATTCAAGAGATTCCTTATCCTGCGTTGCGCCACAGTACTCAAGACCTGATCCCCGAGCTGCAAGTTGAAAGGTTTTCCTCAGCTACGCATTCAAGAATGCATCGTCGTACCATGCAAGTACTGCAACCGAGAATCTGAATCAATTTCGAAACACGTTTCCCGCTGGCTAGCGAGATCATCTGCCGCACTGAGGCGGACCCGTTGTTCTGGATGTCCTTCGCCTCAACACAAGGCAGAGCGGGGCATGCAGCGAACTGTCACAGGATCCCTGACAATCATGGTTTGTTTGCATGGTAGCTGCGCATTCGGATACGAAGAGACGCAGAGGTTTGAAGACCAAGATGAATGCACGCATTTTGTCCTGGTTTGTATCATCTGCAAGCACCTGAGTTGGGGAATCATGTACGGCCGGGGTTTTCTGTGCGGTGTTGCCGTCTTTGCAAGTCAGAGGCGAAATATTCAAGTCCAGCTGCGTGCCACGAAGCGATACGAGCCGAGAAGTCGTCATCCGAAGCATCGTTCTTGTTGCCAAAGGACCACGGATTCTTTCCTTCGGTGAAGATGGAGAAGCAATGTGCCATAGCCTCGGAATGCCAGCAAGAGTCCAAAGCCACAGCATGGTCCCAGAAGGAGAACCAACGCACATCCTTGGGATTGTCGGACCGCAGGTGTAGATTGCCTGTCAGGAAGAACTTTTGCAGTCGGTTTGCGCTGAAACAACATTCCAGCAAGAAACCCCAAGGCCTTTACGGGAAGACAGCAGGTTCAAGGCGTGCTTGGATGTGAAATCGGCAAAGAACCCGGACCCACCATTGTGCATTCCAGCGGCATCCTTAGCCATTCCAGTCATGAACATCTGCACGAAGTCGTCTTCGGGATTCGTTTCCATGATCTCCACCAGCCTGGAGCGGGCGTCTGCCACGAGTTTACCAAATCTACCCGACTTGAATGGTCCTCGCGAGAAGCGAAAGAGGGCCATCAATCTCCTGAGGAAAGCCGGTCCATCATCCAATCTTTTTATAGCCGAGGAAGCCCTGCGAGCACACTGATGGAAGATATCCGGCCATAGTAGCACCCATAGATCAAGGGATGCGAGATGCTGGAATCCCACAAAGCCCTGCATTGTGCAAGAATCTGAAGCTCACGGGTGGGGGGGACACAGTACCAAGCAAGAAGCAAGCCCTGACAGCCTCAGTACCCAAGTCTGCGGCAAAGACAAGACGTGTAAATTTTTCATCCTGGTAGAAGTCAGGACGGCTTCGTCCAGATTCCGAATCCCAAGTAAAGTGCAACGTAGCTTCCGAGGCCGGACGCGGAGTCATCAACTGCAGTTCAGCGGGATCGTAGAGGACACGGGTACATCCAGGGCCTGCTGGTTGCAAGGGGTTCGGGGGCTTACACTTCTGCAATGTCCATCCTGCTGGCATGGCTTGCTGCAGTGCGTTGGCCAATCCGCACAGGAGATGCTTCGTGGGGGTGCGAAACTCTTTGAAGCGGAAAGCCTCCTTGCCGATTGACTGTTTCTCTTTGGCGCTGTCAGGAAGCACCCCGCCGAGTGCATCCGCCAAGGAAGCCACAGCCTCAGCAGCCTCCTGCCTGGAGCAACTGTTAGGGCTCAGTATCTGGGTCGCGCCAGCAAAGTGGAAACCATTCATTCGAAAGACCACAGACAGCACCTAAGGCAGCCGAGAAGTCTAAGTACAGTGTAAGAGACTTAGTGGATAACACAGAGCAGCAGCCCTTCTAGCGTGCCTGTTCACCCGAGAAAGTAGCAGCATCCATACAGAAGTTCACACTGGGGTACTTTTGCTGGGAAACAGCTTCGTGCACAAAAGCCTCCGTCTTCAGCAGTAATCGGGCAACATACTCTGAAGCAGTGCGGTGAGCCAGTGTCGACTTCTCCTCGACAACCCCCAACTGACCCAAGTTGCGTTCGTCCTTGAGAGTCACGTAGCCTGCGCCACGGCATAGAAATCGGGTCACCATCTGCATTTTCAGAGCCCGATTGCCTTTCCTCCTTGAGCTCTGCATGTAAGGATGGGCACGACTGGCTACAGTGGGATCCGGGCATTCAGACGTGACTGAGGCATCCAGAGACAGTTCTGCGTGCTGAGCGAAGAAGTGGGCCGTGCGCTTAACCAATCGTCTGAATCCTATTGCATTCCAGAAAGCCTGGTCCGAACGCATGCGGAAGCAAGTAGTCAGAAAAACACTCAGTGGCATTTGATGAGCCACGTTCTGAGCGGTGAGCTTCTTGGCAAACCTTCACAGGAATCGGCTCACTACAGCATTGCAAGGATACAGTCCCTGCCTGGCCCACCCCAGGCCAAGCTCACGAAGTGCACGTTTCAGAGCGGAGACCTGCAGGCAGTTTTGTTGAATCTCCACCGCAAAAGCATCACAGTGAGGGAGAAGCTCCAGCGTGGCATTCACATTCATGTTCTCCTCTAAAGCCTGCAAGACAGCCACGCACTCTGATGTGCCATCGACGCCAAAGCTGTTGTTAGGAAGCAGAGTTGCTTGAATCATAAGCATTCCCAGAATCGTGCATGCGTCCACGGGCAAGATGGTGACATCCTTCACGTGGCCCTTGTAGGAAGGTCTGCGAGCAACCTGAGACGAAAAGTTTCAGTAGGCAGTAGTGTACTCTACTTTGCGCGCTGTGAGGATCCCGAGCGGCGGACATGTCCAGGACCGACGTCCATGAGATGGCAGAGGGGAAGAAAGACCCCTGCATAATTTTTTGTGAACCACTGCGTGAATGGCGTCTTCAGCCGCCAGGACTCTGCAATGGCCACGAAATTCTTGTATCCATCCAAGCTGGCCGATTCTTCTACCTGTAAAAGTAGCTCCCACAGATTCAAGAACACATGGGAGTGAGCATTGCAAGCTAGAGATCCCGGCCTGCAGCACGGTCCATACCCCCTTCCTGCTTTGAAGGAAGCTGAAAGCATGGTTGGCGCAAGCGCGGTCCTCCGCGGCTTCCACGTCTGGCACAGGAGGCTGGTGGGGCTGCTCAGAGTGCTCCAGAATTTGAAGCACAGGAGGTTCCGGAGCGAACGGTGATTCAGTGCCATACATATCCACAAGCTGAACGAGTTGCTTCTTGAATTGACATGTCCCATTCTGGGATTCTTCAGGGGTCCCTGTAAATGCTGGAGGTCTCAGGCTAGCCCAGCGAGCAGCTATCTTGCGACGAACAGCTAGCAAGGAGGGGTCGCTCCCAACAAGCAGCCCATGATCGCGGTCATCCAGTGTGACCTTGCGCATGAGATTGTGCACATCCTCCATCCAAGCCTGCAGGCGAACAGATTTCAGGAAACGAGATTTCTGCTTCAGAAAATACAGGGGCCTCCGGACCAGCATGAGAAACATCCACGTCCATTCCCGCGCGCCCCAGAGAGCCGACTCCGGCCCCCCGGGTCAGCTGGAGCACACAGGCCGGAAATTAGTGCTAGTAGGATGAGTTGGAATACTAGCCCCCATTGGGAAAAGAAGTTTACGATTCCCATTCTGGCAGTTTCAGTTCTGAGGCTGGTTTCCGGCACCCAAAGCGAAATTGAGTCTCTGGGGGTCTCCAGTAGGTTCGTGCTCGTGAGAACGAATGGTTTCACGAGAACGATTGTGCTCACGAGAACGATTCTCGCTCGAGTCGGAATCCAGAATAGGTTTGAACATCCTGCGGCACAGCAGTCATCCTGCCAAGAACCCAGCATGCGAAGCAGACGCAAGACAGAAAAGAAGCCAGTTTCTTTTTTCAGCTCAGGAAAGAAAGCATTAGCGCAATGACAGAGGCCATGTTCTGTTTGGACTAGTCCATGGCTTCCACATCCACCGTAGGCGGTCTCCTATACAATTTAAGGGCCACAAACTCATCCAGCTCGAAGTCCGCAATCAGGACCTTGTCGGATGCTTTTTCGAGAACCAGAATCCACGGGGCTCCGTGTCCGTGCCAGCCATCTCCTACGTGAGAATACACAAGCCACCTCAGGTACTGCTCTCTGTCTGGGTGACCCCTGAGCCAAGGAGTCCCTGCTTTATTGGCAACCATGGACTTCCAGTTTTGGCGGCTCATCCAGGGTACGCACACGGCTGAAGCATCAAGTAAAGGCATAGCGACAAAGCAGAGTGAAGGCACTCTATGCGTTTCCGAGGAAGCGGAGCCCAAAGTGATGAAGTTTAGACACAATTGCTCTGTGCATGTGTTGTGTTCGCAAGCTCACGAGCACCGCAGCAAGCAAAGCACAGAAACATGTTTTGCGGTCTGAAGGACTCTGCAAGTCAGAGGCACACACCCCGCATGCCAAGGTCGATGTCAAAACAGGAAAGCGTAGCGGCTAGGCTGGACACATCACTCGGACTCTGACTCCGACAAGTCCACATTTTTTCGTTCCGGGTTCGGGAGAGGAGGCACGTCTTCTGCAGAGGCTGGCTTGGAGTGTCCTGTTGAAGCCTCAGTCTCGGAAGGGAACAATGACCGGGCATAGTGCTTGGCTGCACGGTCTCGAAAAGTGACCTCAAGGACATGCTGTGCACTGCACGCTTGCAGGCTTCAGAAGTCAAGCTCATTGGATGCTGTCCAGACACGATGTCCCTGGCCACATCCTTGATGAATCGCTTCAAACTCTGTCTCCCCATCCAGCTCATCTTCTCCACGACCTCACGGGCAGCGCTGCCCATGCCATCAATATTCCATCCATCCTCCACCGCAGCCAGGAAGTCCTTGACAGAGACCTGAAAAAGGGTTGCATTAGGGCCACAAGGCAAGGAACAGGACGTGCGTGGGCAGACAAGAAACCCAACAGAAAGGTAAGGACAGGGCAATACCATCCTTCGTGGCCGCCTGAAAGACCAACGTTCGGTCCTGCTCCTGAGCAAAGAAGCGAGCCACATCATCCTGCAAGAAATCCGTGAGAGTGCTTTCCCCACGCGAGGACGCAGAGGAGGGAGGCTTGCGCTTGTCCCTGGAGAACCTGTTCTTCAAGAGATCATCATCATCCGTCATCTGCCATTCTGCATTCCTCCTGGATTGATCTCTCCAAGTGCCTCGGTCCTGCATGCAGAACTGAGGCAAAGAAAGAAATGACAGCACAACAAATTTGCAGACATGAGAGTCGTCAGGGTCCTTGGATTTCGAAGATAAAGACTCCATGGATCGCTTGCGCTTGGGATGACCAGGAGTGTCTTCCTCCTCGCTGGCCCCAGGCTCGGAATCGCCTGCAGTCAGAACGTCCTGGGAGGAAATGCGACGCGTCAGCCTCTGCTGAGATTGTGCCTTCTCAGAATCAAGCTGCTTCGTTGCAGCCTGCTGCAACTCCAGAAGCATAGCAGCAACCTGAGACTGCCATTCCTCTCTCGGGGCCTCAGCCATATTCTTTTTGGCCTGGATCTCGCCATCAAAGGTCCTGAACAAAAGAGCATTCCAAAGCACAGAAAAGAAGACAGCCAAGGGTTAACGCAAGCAATCCTGCGCAAGCTGGAAGCCGACTTGTGCTGGCTGACCACCGTTAATCCATCCAGACCAGTGACTGAGCCGACACAAGGAGTGAAAAAAACCACAAAAAACAGAATGACAATTGCAGAGTCCCAACGATTGCCAACAAGGTGCGCTGCTCACAAAGGGCCAGCAAACGTTCTCGCCAATCAGCTTCAGCAGCAGACTCACTCTGAGTGAGCTCTACTTTCAGCTTCATAGAAGCAGCGGATGAATCCAGGGCACAATTCTGCTTGGTCCTCTTCCTGACCTGAGTCAAGAGCATTGGACAAGGACCCACGATCCCGCATGCTACATGAGACACAAGAACAAACAGGCCTTATGCAAAGCTGGACACCTCCAAGAGATTCCCACCCATTCGCATGAGTGCGTTCTCGGTGCATGATGGCAAGAGTCTCGAAAGGCATGTTGCCAGAAGCGCCGGCGCAAGATCCCCCAGCTTGGCTATCTTGCCATTCAATCGCAGAGCCTGCGGTTTCCTGAGGAAGAAACTAGCAGCATGCAGAATACAAAGCTACAAGCATAGAAGAACATGTAAAGGCGAAAGTCAGTCCAAAAGCTGCAGCTATAGCCTTCAACTCCACCAAGTCGGCATCCTCCGATGAGGACGTTGAGGAGGACTTGCGACGCTTCCTGTCCTTGTCCTTCCTACTTTTCCGATGCTTGCTGGATTTAGCCATGGCTAAGTGCAGTAGACACCGCTACGCTTCTACGTAAAAGGCCCCACAACTGCAAAGCTGCAGTGTCAGTACCACGAAGGCATGAGATTTCTCTGCAAGCACAGAAAATGGGAACTGTCCGCTAGCAATTCTGGAAGCTTGCAAAGACAGCACATGCACAGTACGCAGATTTTGTCAGAGGCCAGCTCATCATCCAATTTCTAAGCAGTGCCCACGCATGAAACATTGAGCTCACAGACTGTCTGCAAGCTAGTACCGTGGCTCTACGCCCAAGAAGCAAGCCCTCCGCTGAACCCCAGAAACCCCAAGACAGAAAGCCACGAGACAGAGCTACGGCACAGGTCCAGCCGCTCTGCAATGCACCTCAGCTACATCAGGAGGCAGGGTACATTACGGGGGAAGCACAAACAGAGACCAAACTTGCAAGGGCCAAATAACCACCTGCAAGCAATAAGCAGGATCCGTTAATGCAAGCTTCTTGGTCATGCGCCAATACAGAATTGCTGAAGCCAGACTAGACACACACAAGCAGACAAGGCACGGAGATCAGATGCCAGAAGCAACCAAGAGTCGCCACTATCCTGCAAGTGAAGGTAGACATGTACAGAACAAGCAGCATAACAGTTGAGAGCAAGCATGAGATCCAACTGAGAGAGCACAGATTAACCATCCCAGGCTGCTCTTGTGATATATCCTGGAATGACGAATGCCTTAGAAATGTAAACCCCATGAAATCATCCCGTCCTGAAGATCCCTGAGCAGAGTCATCACCTTGCGCGGGCACATGCGCCCACTCATCCTCCTCGTCGTCGAGTATGATATCATAGAAAGATCCTCGCCAAGAGACTGAAAGAAGGCCAACTACTCGTACAATTCCTAAGCATGAATGTAGGCTTTTCCATAGGACGCAGCTTTGAGCTTCATGCACAGAACACAGCAAGGAGACCCCAGTGAAGCAATAGACACAAGACTTCATTGCATTGCGAGAATCGTCCATCATCACTTGCAGCATCACCGCAGGCTGCGTAATCATCATCCTCGAGCTCATCATCCAAAGCACCACGAGGTGCAGCAGGCGGGGACCAGCCTGGATTTGCTAACATGGACAAGTCCAATCCTACCAACAGCTGAGAGAGGTCTAGCAGCTGCATTTGTCTCATGTTTCAGAAGACTAGAACATGCTAAACATATATTGGCAAACATATTCACAAACCTAGGAATATACACCATGTCAGCACCGATGGCATGACAGAAAGAGAATGACTGCAGCAACCAAACACAGTTTGCACGTAGAAGCACTAACCCGAAGCCTCCCACATGTAAGAAAACCTAGAAAACCCCAACCTCCAAACGTTGAATATTCCATCCACTACTGTGTGATGCAAGGAGCTGGGTGCAGGCGAAGTATCTCGACGTCGAGGAAAATCAAGCTCTCCGTCAGAATCATCAGAGATTTCCAGGGGTTGCTCACATGTTTCGTTCTGCAACTTCTTTTTACGGAGGGCTATCTTCACAAGACGCTTGTCAGGGCAGGGCGCAAGGTCAGCTTGTATATCAGGCCAGGCTGGATCCTTGTCATCCCAATTATACTGTCTCATCAAGGATTCCAAACGATGTAAAGAGTCCTGAGCAGATGGCAAGCTGTTGGCCAAGGCACGGGCATACGTCATCATGGAAAAACAATCACAACCATGACTGCACCAGCCAAGTACGCGTGCGATGGCCTCCCCAAACTCCAAAGGATAAAGAGCACTGGTCATCATATCCTGGTTGCCCGACCTAGACATGCATAAATTACCCCTTGGGCACTCAAACCCCTAAGAAGAACTTGAAAAGAGTAATGATAGACCCTGGAAGTAAACAAAGTCGGCTGAAGCAGTATGTATTTCCTTAGCATGAAGAATCTAACCCCAGACAGCAAACATTCATCCAATCACCTAAGTCTCAGGGACTTGAAGTAGCAACTCAAGTAACAGGTTATGAGACAAGGCACGCCCATCCAATTGCATTCTTCTTGGTCAGCTTCAGTAAGACCCGGTCTTTGGTCAAAGGAATCATCAAAGCATCAAGTCGACCAAAAATTCTGATGCCAGGCCAGGTGCCCCACATGACAAGCAGCTTCTTGGAGTAGCCCCCGAACGATCCCAAATGCAAGGACACCTCATAGAATGTCCCCTGCAGCCTGTGAGCCTGCTCATACGCATGAAAACCAGGCCAGCGGAACATCATGGACGTGTCCTGAGCAGAAGAATTTGAGCAGAGCAATGGTTCTTTGGGACCGAGAATTGCAGGAAAGAATAATTCTAAAGACTTATGTTGATGCACAACATGTTTTTCATGAAGTTACAGATCATGAAAATTACACTAAGACAAGACTCAGGCTTTTCAACAGAAGTGTAGATTGAAAGCCAGTCCATCAGAGGCAGAAGTACAGTGGATACAGTCTCAGCCATTCTGTTGCCAGATAGTACGGATGGAAGCGAACAGTCACCGTACAATTCCTTAACTTGGTGTTGGGAGTGTTCGTATATTCCAAAATAAAGCATCTTACTCGAGGGCCGTAAATCTAAACCCAAAAAAAGATATACAATGTCCCTAACATTTCCAGAGCACAAGACCTCGCAAGGAAGTGCCGCGGCTAATCCAAATCCAGCTGGAACAGGTCGGGCTCAAAAGCCCCAGCCCTTTGGGGCGTACAAATACTAGCTGCTGAAGTAGCTTTTGCAGCCCCGACCTCACATGCACATTCTCAGTGACGTCCATACCTGAAGCTGAGAGTGACAAGCAATGTTGTCTAGGAATTCCAAGCTAGGCCCTGACTCGAACTCAAGCTACATCCCGTAAAAAACAATTTTAGCCGCCTTCTCAATAACTTCCCAAGTACAAGCCCATGAGAAAGAACCTTAGAGTATAGATCCAGAAAATATAATTAATTGAGATCAGCAGACTCTTATCAAAGCAGGCACATCTGTAGCCACTAGCTTCCAGGGCTGTGCGAAACGTGTTGCAGCCAGAAAAAATGTGGATGGCATCATACATTTTGTCATTGCCCAGGATCTCTGCTCTTTGCATACGGCCTAGGATGACTTTCCACACGTAAGCTAAATAAACATACCTCTAATTTTGTAACATAAAGCATAGCTATTCAAAGTGATAACCATCCTTCTACAACTAGCTCCTCAACAAATCTATGCCAACGTAACAGCCAACAAATGAATTGTTGCTGTATTTGAAGCAACTCCAATAAACCCACACAACATCTATGATAATTATTCTTCTGGCAGTTTCCATCAAGCCACCTGAAGTTGTTGCCAAGAAGGGATGCGAGGCCACCAGCAGAGATTTGGCTTCTTCTACAGACACAGGCGGAGGTATATGAACATAGGGAAGACACAACATCCTGGCTAGAGGGGAAACTCGGGCCTTGAACAGCCTTTCCGGGTAACTGATGAATGCATTGCATCACTGTACTTGCACAAGCAAAATAAGCCTCCAGAACGATGCAGGGACTAGAATGGGAATGATACGTTTAGATTCGTTGAAAAGCTGCAAGTGAGGATGTGGCCATGGATTTGCAGCTGGTCCTCCTCCCCTACCTCGAGTCGTCAGCCGAGTACCTTGCTTGGCCCCTTTAAAGGGATATATATATATATACATTCTTGGGTTCAGGGTTTACGTAGGGTCTGGGATTTGGGGTGCGGTACTGGAGAATCAAGTGGTGAAGATGAAATGAAATCTTGGTTTACATAGTGTTGAGGTTTGCTCTATATATATATATAACATGTATAGATATACACGTATGTATATGCAAGGGCTGCAACGGGAGCGTTT